TTATATATCAATAACTTGAATTTAATTTAAAATTAACAAAATTAATTTTTTCTTATATTTTGATATTTTATAAAAAAAAAAATATGTATTTTATTCTGACTCGATTCTGATCCTCTCTCTTATATTTTAGACACTACATATTCTGTAATTTTGCGAAATTTAAAAATTCTCTGAATACTTGTCGCGACGAATGATTGTATTTGATTCAGTCACTCGTTATGGTCCGCAATCAGTTGTCAGCGCAACTGGTTAAAAGTACCCATGAGCAATGTCGTTTTTTTCTTTCAAATTTAACAAACATTGCCATCCAGTGATAATAATTTAACTTGTTAACAACATAATCTGTGTTCTAATTAAATATATTGACATTTAGTATGGTTATTAGTATTTCTCTGATATAAATAACAATGCAGGGTGAGACAAAAATCACTTCCTACTAAAATAGATCCGCAATTTTTTGATTATATATTAAATAATGTTATATTATATTACATATCAATAACTTGAATTTAATTTAAAATTAACAAAATTAATTTTTTTTCTTATATTTTGATGTTTTATCCAAAAAAAAGAAAAAGATATGTATTTTATTCTGATCCTCTCTCTTATATTTCAGGCACGTATCCTGTAATTTTACGAAAATTTGAAAATCTCTGGACACTTGTAGCGTCGCGACGAATTATTGCTCAATTCAATGTTAATTGCACCACGGGACTCAAAGCGAATCCTACAGTCGATTAGAATTAAATTAAGATGCAAGAGGTATAAAGAAAAGAAACACCCGACAAAGTTGAATTATTGAGACTTCAGTGACGAAGTTTTTCCGTTTTAGCAAATCGTTCGTTCTCCGAGTACTCGAACTGTCCCGATCTGGTATTCCCAACGTATGTTTAACTAAACGGACGATGGATCGATACATTCAACGAACGTAACTTTTGCAATGTCTTCTATCATTATCGTTTTTATTATTTACCGGGCAACCTGCAGCCCGTACTTTTCGCTACGATTGAATGGAAAAAAGAAAAAAATAGTGTGCGAAGTATGAAACGGGCGAGTAAGTACGAGACGAGCATTATTTATTCGGCAAGAAAATCGGTTGATTCGAAATTCTCGACGCTTCGGTGATACAATACGCGTTGCTGAATAATTTTCCATTTGATGTAAAGGGGGTTTGGTAATTCTCTTCTCACGCCACGAATTTCGCAAGTTCTCGATATCCGTTCCTCCTCAACGTGCTTCACGTGTTATATATGGGTCATTGGCGATCCATCGGAGCCACCAAAGATAGAACTCTCATTGAACAGAAACACCTTTTAACCTCGCGTTCTAAGCGTGTAAACGCCTATAAAAGAACGTAATCAACAGAGTAATCAACCGAGTGTTAACGCGAGATTATCAACAACTCTCAAATTTGAAGTTTTATATTACTTACTATTTTAACACTAGAACTACAAAAAAAAAAAAAGTGGTAAAAATGATCGATTTAAAAATGAATAATATTATGAATAATTTTTCGTACAAACGAACAAATAAAAGCTTGTATACTTCTTTGTATTATGAAGCTTTTCTATTTTTTTTTTTTTTTTTTTTAATAACTTTGATGGGAATTTTCTAGTGTTAAGATATATTATATTCCCAGTTATTATACTATATTCTAGCGTTGAAATATACTGTTGTCTATATTAAAATAAATAACGAAATAAAAACAAAATAAATAATAAAATAGAAATAAAATGAAACAAAATAAAATAAAAACGAGCTAAACAACAAGATCGACAAAACACAGCAATGCTGCATCAATACAAATACTATATTATATTATAGTATAGTATCATAGTATCATAGTATAGTAGTAAAAATACTATACTATAATATAGTATGTACAGTATAACAGCAATATTATATCAACACAATAAAAACGAGCTGAGCAACAAGACCGACAGAATACAATCGACGTGTGATCATTCCCATTCACTTGGACAGAAAAAAAAAAAAAGAAGAGTCCGCAACGAATGACGCGTTTAATTAATAATCCAAACACCGCACGTGTGTACGTGCAATTGCCAAACATCCCAAAATTCGCGTAAAATCGTTCGCGATTCACGCCGCGCACCGAGAGGGCTCTGCTCTGCTGCACAAGTCTCCACGCGTGTTACCAATTCTCGTCAATTGTCGATCGTTCGACAGCTGGAAACCATGAGACCGCGGCTCTCCGGGTGGAAAACAGAGGCGGGATAATCACGGTTTGGCGTATGTGTTCGCGTCGCGTGTGCGACACAGAAACGAAACGAAACGAAACGAAACGAAACGAAAGCTGGAAGCCACCGGTCAGCGATCGCGGCACGATCGTGGCGTGGCCGCGTGCGGTCGTTCGTATCGTTCCTGGATCAATAGCACGTGATCGCGGCCGGCACACCGAGCCCCGATGATATAAACAAAGAAACGTGGCCGCGCAGCGTACGCGCCGGTGCGGCGCATCGATTTTCGACCCCGTGTGCTACGGGGTGGTTTTCCCTCCTCCACGACACATGCACGTACATAGATACGTATGTATACGCACGTATACAGGCGATTCACGGTAGGTACGCGCCTGTACGCTCTCGTCGACGAACCGTGAGACGAGACGTCGTCAAAGGACGTCTGAAATCCTCGTTTCGGCATAATTTCGAATATTTCCGAAAGATCGACCCTCCGTCGACGAGAGCTTGTCTGTGAAACAGAGACATCACTCGGGAGATGCAGACTTGTGCGGATTTCTTGCGAGATATTCAAAATTATCTGGTTACTAGATTCCGATGTTAATTTCATCCGATTTTACGAGTAATTTTTTTTTTTTTTTTGCTTTCGTGGAGAGTAATGAAACAAGTTGTAATTTATGGGGGAGGAGGCTCGGAGGAAAAAAATATCCAAGTTGTTGAAAGATATTTACATGTATATACTAGCAACATCTGCCTATATACTAGATTTGAAAGGGTATTTTCCACACCTGGAAAATGTAGGCTTATTTCAAAGAAGCAATGGGACAAATTGTAATTCATATCCGCTAAAATGGTCAGAAAAGAAAAATATCCAAGATTTGCTAAAAAATATTTACTAGCTTTAAAAGGGTATTTTTCACAACTGGAAAATGTAGGCTTATTTCAAAGAAGCAATGAGACAAATTGTAATTCATATCCGCCGAAATGATCAAAAAAGAAAAATATCCAAGATTTGCTAAAAAATATTTACTAGGTTTGAAAGGGTATTTTCCACAACTGGAAAATGTAGGCTTATTTCAAAGAAGCAATGAGACAATTTGTAATTCATATCCGCCAAAATGGTCAAAAAAGAAAAATATCCAAGATTTGCTAAAAAATATTTACTAGGTTTGAAAGGGTATTTTCCACAACTGAAAAATATAGGTTTATTTCAGGGAAACAATGAGACAAGTTGTAATTCATATCCGCCAAAATGGTCAGAAAAGAAAAATATCCAAGATTTGCTAAAAAATATTTACATAATATGGGTGTTTTATATTAATAAACTTTTATATTAATTCAAGGTGGACGAGCTCTTAATACTTTTGTGCACAGAGATAATTTAAAAATAATTACCTCGTCTTACTTTTTATTATTTGTATACATCCGGGTAATATCAGTAGAAATAATATATAATAAATATATAGTTTTCAACCATCTCGTACACCCGAGTCTCAATAAGCAACAGCTCTAATACGAAACTAGGTGCAAAATGAAATTTTGCTTAGAAGCGTATTTGACATTTGCAGTGTCGTGACCTCGAGTCTGATATTTTCAGATATCTTAGATAATTTACAATGCGAAATTGAATTTCTGTAAAGTTCGTTCAACATTCATACTTCATAGGTTCATAATTTTCCTCTGCGATGAAAAAAAATGTGTGACAAGTCCTTTCGATCTTTTCATTTTATTTTTATCTAATTTCCAGTAAAATCAACGGCGAAAAATATTGTTAAATATTTTTGACGTTACTATAAAATTAAAATTGTATTACAATTGTAAATTCAAATATAACTGTAATGTAATTTAAATTTAAATGTTATATATTGATTCACTTGCACGTTCAATATTTTTACCTTCTTACGTTTTACTGAATTACATTTACTTTTTGTAATAATATTACGCGTAGAAAAAGCCATAATTACTTTAGCTCCAACAAAATGTTTCACTAGCTTGCTGATAAAAATGAACCGACTGTTACGGTGTTTTATTGATCAAAGTAAAGTCTAACGTCGTTGAGGTAAGATCGTTCCAGGAGTGACGGAGAATTCTGTTTTGATTTCAGGCGAACGCAGCGGTAGTGTTCAAATGCACTTGGCCAGGTTGCCTGGAAATCAAAGCGACCGTGGCCCTTATCGAGGAGCACGTGCGCCAGTCGCACTTGGGGTAAGTCTAAGCGTTAGCTACCCTAACAATAAGACGCAACAAGTCCCCTGAAAATCTAACGAACTTTCATCTACCGCACGAACTTGCTCCACGTAACGATTATTAGGCCATTTTCATCATACAATGCGAATCGTACATACAGGGTGGAAAAAGAAGTTTGACCCACACTTTGAGTAAGAGTAGCCCTGACATAATATAGAATATAGTATATAGAATATATAGAATAGCGTCTCGTTTCATTTCTCAATTTTTTGTCGACAAAGAACAAAGCATCGAATCTCTTCGAGTTCGATTCGTAAACCAGCTTCGTGTCGCGTAGTTTCGTAAGATTTTTTTTTTCAATTCTACGCGTTATATACTCTTGAAGCGAGAGAAAAAATGAGTATATGATTTCCCATATACACTTGAAGCCCATATCAAAGCCTTCGGCATTCGAGCGTTAACCTTGAACCAGCCGCGATAAGATAAGTTTGTCGGCCGTACTAAACTCCGTGAACGGCGACGAATCGACCGATCCACGCACGAGTCACGCACGTGGGCGCGACGGTCTTTTTTGTAACGAGGATCACGCGCGCTTTTTCAGGCCGAAGAAGTCGAACGGGTACGACAACGAGGAGGAGGACGACATCTCTGACCATGAGGAGGAGTTTTACTATCAAGAGGTGGCGGTCGATCACATGAGCTCACCGCCGACGATGTCCCACCGAGACATGGCCAGGCCTCCGCACGAGGACCCCGAGTACCAGAAACAGCTCCGTTTGGAGGCCACTTCCGCCATCGTTAACACGGAGAGCATGATGGCCGGCATCAGAGAACGGAACACCGCGTTCACCATTTCGCAATCGCCGGTACGTTTCCCCCATCGAATCTGGTTTCCACGCGTTCACTATACTCCGACTCCCAATCTACATTAATGTCAGAACTACCAAAATGGTCGAAATGATCAATTGATAGATATCTTATACAAAACAGTGTGTTTTTGTATTTATTTTGAATGATTCTTCGTAATGTCGATAAATAAAAGCTCTGGCCATTATAAAATGTTATTAAAGATTGTTTGTTCCTTTTGCTTTAACGTCTCTGATGGAAATTTTATGGTTTAGTCGCCGGTTAGTTCTAGTGTTAATGTCAGAACTACCGAAATGGTCGAAATGACCAAGAGAGAAATTTATATCTTTCATTCTCGCGACATGTATAAATCAAAAGCTCGAGTAAGTTTATCGTATTGTAGAGCTTTTTATGCTTTACTCGCTGGTAGTTCTAACGTTGATGAGAGATTTTTCGTAATAATGGAATAACTTTTCGATAGTACGAGGTGAGAGTTATTTGGTTCGTCCGTTTCCTTTTTCGTTGGTTTTCAGTGCGCTATTTTACTGACAATTTGGTAATTTTAATCTTGACTGGTAATCATTCCTCGTTGAAATAATTTTTGTCACCTATTATGAATTGTATATTATACGTTATGTATTTAATATGCAGTTCATAAGAGATGATAAAAATTACCAATCGAGATTAAACTACCAAATTGTCAGTAAAGTATATTATTTACATTGTATGTTATATAGTATAATATTTTATATATTATATATATATATATATATATATATATATATATATATATATATATATATATATATATTGAAATATTAAGTTGATAATAAATTTATGGTTTCGAATAAATACAATACAGTGAAGAGCATAACTGAATTGTCGATACTTTAAACTATCATAATTTCATAAAACATATCGCATAGTAATCTATTTGGCCACATTTTGAAGCGTAAAACTTATAATTCGAACATTCTAAGTTCCACTTTTTTAAGAATAGTTAGAAGAGTACAGTTACTTCGAGTTACTTTTAATTACCTTATAGTTCTAGTAACTTTATAAATTACAATAGTAACTTCACATGTACTTCTAGTTACTTCCATTTACAATAGTAACTTTACGGTTACTTCTAGTAAGAATAACAACTTTACATTCACTTCTAGTTACTTTATGGTTCTAGTAACTTTATAAATTACAATAGTAACTTCGCATGTAGTTCTAGTTACTTCCATTTACAATAGTAACTTTACGGTTACTTCTAGTAAGAATAATAACTTTACAGTTACTTCTAGTTACCTTGTGGTTCTAGTAACTTTATAAATTACAGTAGTAACTTTACAGTTACTTCTAGTTGCAGTAGTAACTTTACAATTACTTCTGATTACAATAACTTTATAGTTACTTCCAGTTACAATAGTAACTTTACGGTTACGTCTAGTTATAATAGTAACTTTACAGTTACGTCTAGTCACTTTATGGTTTTAGTAACTTTATAAATTACAATAGTAACTTCACAGTTACTTTTAGTTGCAGTAGTAACTTTATAATTACTTCTGGTTACAATAACTTTACAGTTACTTCTAGTTACTTTATGGTTTATCAACTTTATAAATTACAGTAGTAACTTCACAGTTACTTTTAGTTGCAGTAATAACTTTACAATTACTTCTGGTTACAATAACTTTACAGTTACTTCTAGTTAGAATAGTAACTTTACAGTCACTCCCAGTTACTTTATAGTTCTAGTAACTTTACAAATTACAATAGCAACTTCACAATGATTTCTGGTTACAGTAACTTTTTAGTTACAGTAGCACAGTTAGAATAGTAACGTTTAGTTACGACAGTAACTAGAAAGTGTCGGGAGATTTTCGTAATTTTCGCTGTTTCAGTTACGCTCTTGACCGTAGATTCGCGGCGAGATTCGAGTCGAAATTAAAAAAAAAAAAAATTATGTGATTTTCGTTTGCGCAAAACACAGGGCACACCGATCAAGCACATAAAGCTGTCGCCGCGGCCGCTGCAAGCGTACCAGCAGAACATGGGCCTGCTGACGGTGTCCACCGGGAAGATGCCGTCGTCGCCGCGGCGGATCCGGGGCGAGACGAAGAAGTGCCGCAAGGTCTACGGTATGGAGCACCGCGACCTGTGGTGCACGCAGTGCAAGTGGAAGAAGGCCTGCAGCCGTTTCGGCGACTAGGCCAAGCGGCCGCCCCGTTCGTACGTCCGCGGGCGGAAACAACCGTCGCCGAGCCGACCCCAGAGTTTGCCAATGCTACGTTTAAACTTCTCGCCAACTGCCAGCAACACAATTGCCAATTTCCACGGTCGAACGGTCGAGACAGAGTCGCATCGTCAGTCAGTCGACGACTCGTAACCGAATCGAATTACGAAAAAACGAGAAATCGTTCGTCGTTGTCGTCGTCGTCGTCGTCGTCGTCGTAATGTCACAGTAATAATTGTTTCGACGACGATTCGTTGCCACACGGCGATGGACGACGCGCGACGGGTCTCTCTCGCATGATCTGGTACAACCATCGTCCACCATCTTGCAGAGAACGAGTTCGATAGCATCCGACATCATATATTAAGTATATTAAGACAGATTTTCGAAAGAAAGGAAGGAAGGAAGGAACGTAGGGAACGATCTCTCTGTCGGGGTGTGTTCAACGTAGCAGCTGACGTCGAGCTGGCGGAACACACCTCACCTTCCTGTCTCCTCTTCTTATTCTTCTTCGTGCAAAACCCGTCGTTCTTCTTTTTTTTTTAATCTCTCGAGAGTTCGCCTCGCTAAACTCTCCTTCTCTTCTCAACCTGCCACACCGAGAGAAAGAGAGAGAAAGAGGCGGTTTCTAGAAAGAAACGTCAATCCCATGACGGATGGCGGATCGATCCGATGGCGGTCGATCACGCGTTTCGCGGTATAGTTGGCGTAGAGAAGAACACGGGTAATCGAATTGAGAGAGAGAGAGGAGAATCGTGCTCTCGATCTCGTCCGAACGACCCTGGCTGTTGTCGCTGTTGTCCAGCTGGAATGGAGAATCCGAGCACCGGGGAAATTTTATCGGCAGGAAAAGAAAGAAAGAAAGAAAAAAAAGAAAGAAAGGAAGGAAGAAAGAAAGAAAGAAGTAGAGGATCGTTGACCGATCGTCGAACGATTTCTTATCGCTCTCGTCTGGCACTTGGCAAACTCCGTCAGGGTCTTTTTAGCCGTAATAAGGGGTTTTGATTAGTAGATAGCGAATAATTGGCGTGCGGGACGAGGCGTCCTTAGACTGTCGCGTCCTCCTTCTCTCTCTCTGTTATCTGTTTAGCCTTTTTTCCGCCGCCTGCCTCCTCCTCCTCCTCCTCCTCCTCCTCCTGTCTACGATCGAGCACGCGGGAGGCCGCTTCCGCTTTCGCCGGGAAACACATTTGAAACTTTTAAAATGGAGGAGAGGGGGAAAAAAAAAGGAAGAAGGAGGAATCTTTCTCTTCTTCTTTGTTTTTGATTCGGTGGATAAAGTAGACGAAACGAAGGGGGCACGGGACTCGAAGAATCGCGACACGACCCGAGCACCGGCTGCATCTGTGGAAATACGTGCCGACTCCTTAGCTCTCGTTTCAAATAGGTCTTCCTTCATCCGACGAGAACGCCCCTCGGCTCTCTTCTCGCCTCTTGCCTCCTCCGAGGGATATGATCGACGGTTGTCACGCGATCTCCGCGGAGAGTAAAGAAAAGAAACATGCAAAGTGAAGAGAAAGGAAGAAAAATGGGGGTGGGTCACGTATGCGTGTCCCCACGTTGTGATCGATTTATTCGTCCGTTGCTGCCTCACGATACACTCCTCGCCACGTGCGCGTTCGCCAAACGAATAATTCGCGATCGAGCGTGGGATCACGACGTGCACTCCCGTTTTCGAACATTCGCTTTCGAGTTCATCAGCCGAGCTACTACTGACTGCTACTTCGAAGAAATTTTGTTGATCGGTCCAGGTTCGAATTGAAACGATCGTTCTTGTTTCTGTTTCGACGAGAGTGTACACGCGTAGTTCTAGAGTTCGTTATAATTTTATAATTTTAGAAAGCTCCCGGAGCCAGTGGAAACAAAAAGCGGGAGATCGAAGAGAGGGGCCAACGTGTCCAGTTCGGAATTTTTAATACACTGTTGAACAAACACGCGTATAGAGGAAAGTTTGTGATCCCGGTTGTGGTTGGCAAATTTTTAACACATTCCTTTGATCGCGGCTCTAACGCGAAATATTTGTTAAAATGGGAATCAATATAAGAGGAATGAATTTGCAGCATCATTTAAACAAGAAAAGAGAAAGGAAACTAAGTGTGCAAAGGAGGAGAAAAATTTGCCGGGACATCTGCAATTCACATCGCCAAACGAATATTCGCCTTCGTTTCGTTTTTATAAATCATGAAATATTCGTTAGGGAACGGCACGTATCGCAGAGTGGAGGTCGTGTATAGTATAATTTCTCTGTCATAGCGTAATAGTATAATTTCTCTCTGTAATGTATATATATACATACACATATATATATATACATATACGTGAGGGGGACGCACGCGAGCGTAAGCGCGCGCGTTCCGTACGAACGGAAGACCGTGAAGAAGGAAAAGAAAAGAAAAGAAAAAGAAGAAAAAAAAAAAAAAAACGAAAACGAATATTGTTCTTCCTGTACGAAGGACGAAAGGCGAGCGCGAAGTCCATAACGAAGAATTCGCCGCGAACCTGTGCGCGAGGCAATTGTGATATTTTACTCTCCAAATTTTATTCGAGTTTAATGAGATCTCCGCGCTGGCCTGATTCAACGAACGAATTTTGGTCACCGGAGTCGGTTTCGGGCTGAAGGGCGAAACGAGCGACGAAAGGATCCATCATATGGACGTGTCGATACAGCGGTGACGATTTTAAAAGGGGGGATGGGGGAACGCGCGGATGCAAAATTTTATACACCAATTATCATACTGCCAGATTAAAAAAATAAAGAAGAAAAAAATTAATAAATAAACGCAGTTCAATGGAACGATTAGAAGAATCGCGCGGAATGAAACACACACACACATATATATATATACACACTCAAAGGAAAAAGAAAAAAATGAAGTTTGGACAGTGTACGAGAAAGTATACACACACATATATATATATTATATATATACACACACATCACAGAATATACCGATCAGTGTGTGTCGGGCTCAGGCTGCCTGCTAGCCTCCTCTCGACGACCTAAAACCGTGTTTGCCGAATTCGTAGGGAAACGAGGAATAGCTTAAGAGACAAAGTCAGAAAGAAAAAGAAAGAAAAAACGGAACATGGAGCACGCACGCATGCACGAGAAATTTCGTTTAGTGGTAGATCGGCTTCGCAGTTGAATCGATCGATCGATTGTACCCGAGAGAGATCTTGCTTGCTCTCCGGTTACGCGTACGTACGTACGTAAAAGTGCGTGCAACACGCGTCTAATATATCTAGGACAATGGAGAAAGGAAAAATTCGAACTCGTCGCGCCTCCAGCCAACTTCTCTGTCTGTCCATCCGCGAGGCAGGCTTCTTTCAACAACTTCAACGTTAAGCGGACCTTCAGGTCTCAGTTGAAAATTTATATCGAATTGGCAAACGGAAACAACAAACGGTGAGAGAATTCTTCTTACGTGAATTTTTTTGAACGATAAACGCGAAAGAAACTGCGCAATTGGATGCGTAATTGTTAGCTCAAACGGATCGTCCCTTCGGAGACGTTCTTGTTCTTCTGCAATCGCTGTCCAGAAGTTATTAACCAAACGGTGGCGGACCGGGGAACGAAAAAGGTCAGAAATCTTTCATACTAGACTAGTTTCTCTTAACACTAGAACTATCGAGTGGTCAATATGACTAATTCGTGTTTTTTTTTTTTTTTTTTTTTTTTTTAGATATACTACAGATGCAAAATAGCGTATTTTTAGAGGCTTAAATGATGTTTTTATAAAATACAGTCTATCGTATTTCTATTTTTTTTTTTTTTTCACTTTAACATCTCTGATCGAAATTCTGTGCTTGGTAGTTCTAGTGTTAACAACTCGATTACGTTTGTTTGTCCGTTGAACGGCGATCTTGGGTGAATATTACGGGTTTCGCCTTTGAAACTCTCACCTCTGTCCGCCACCGTTGCGCGCGAGCAGCTCATCACAAGCTGATGACAAAAAGAAAGAAAAAAATAAATAATAATAAATAAATAATAAGTAATAAAATAATAAAAAGAAAACGACGTTGTTCTGATCTCGAAAATATTCGCGGACGCGACGCAATCCGCGAATCATCATTAGATTACGTCGAGTTGCTTGAGAATGTGTAGCGATCGGGATCGTTGTTATCTCGTCGAATAAATTTAGACGCTGATCTATTTTTCCTTCTTTCGTCGTTAATTATTCTTAATTATTAATATTATTAGCAATTTGTTACTGTTAACGGGACACAAGCGCGCGCACGCGTCCCCTTTCTTTTCTTTTCTCTCAACGAGCGAACCAAAAGCGAGAGCATTCAAACGAGATTTGAATTTCTCAAAGACTCTAATACTATATATATAGGTACTATTATATCTCTAGTTGACATTTGTTCGTTCTTTCCCTCTCCTCTTTCTCTTTCTCTCATTTTACAATTCGCATCTGCGAGAGGAGAGTGCTATACTTCCATCTGACGCTGATCGATGCTCATTTTTTTTCTCTAGTACAATCTCTCTCTCTCTCTCTCTCTCTCTCTCTCTCTCTCTCTCTCTCTCTCTCGTCACAGCCACATTTTATTCCGCGTTTTGCTCCCGCATAATTTTACGATTTATATGTATATATTTATTAAATCTAAGGTCTATCGATATTTAATATATATATATATATATATATATATATATATATATATATATATTATATGATAATTATTACGTATTTTAATGTTACGAACGTATTATTAATAACACGTTTTAACACACGATAACGTTACTTGAGATTAAGAGATTCGTCGGGCGAGTAGGTGTTTGAAAAGGAGAAACAGAAAAGAGGGAAAAAAGGAAGAAACGGGAGGAAAAGAGTCAATTATAACCGCGAAAAATGGAGGGAGGGGGGGGGGAGAAGATTAGACTAATTATACGACGTATATATATATATCGTGGCGGTATTACGTTTCTTTTTTTTTTTTTTTTCGTCGTGACACGTAGAATCACGTATTACCGAACCAAAGACGCCGTCGTGTTTTTCCAGTCGTCAAAGCCATGGTAACACTTCGCGGGAAACCGATCGTTTAACCCAGCTACGACTCTCAAATTCTTCGACAGATCGTCTCTCGTTTTCTGAAAGAGGTGGAGGAGGGCAGAAAAAGAAAAAAGAAAAAATTTACAATGTTCGAAGATGTTCGAAATTTGACAGAGAGACACTTTGCAAAAGTTGGAAGAGTAACAAAGTTTCGACTGAGAGAAACGCAGCGAGGGTTAAACTCAGTTCCACCACGAGTTAATCTTTTTTTTCTTTCTTTTTAAGAATGAGGAACAATTTTTCTCTTCTTTTTTCTTCCTTTTTTTCTTTTTCTTTTCGCGAACACGCGTTCCAAGTACTTAGGGAAAGTCTGTCTTTCTTTGTTCAATCACGAAGATCGTGCGAGAGGAGATCTAACAAGTTCGATCGGACGTTTGAAATGACATATAAAATTGGAGAGACGAGCGGCGAATTCATTTGTGTGACGAGCAACATCGAGCACAAATTGTTACGTTAGTTGAATTTAATCGATATTGATCCGCGTAACCGTTGTTCTACATTGCTAATATCTTTTTTTCTTTTTAAACGTCAAACGCGCGTTCAGCCCGAGAATCAAACGGATGGATGATTTTAATGATATTGTTAAACTTGAAGATTGAGAATCATAAATACGAAGGATCAAGTACGACGGACCTGTCTTTCACGTGTGATCTTCATATCGAAACCCAGCGAATTCCCCGCAGAGAGTAGGATTTCGTTAGACGAATTAGAACAATAACACACAAAGTATTATTAATGTGTTGCAAGAACTTAACTCAACGCTGGTTCTAGAAGAAAAAAAGAAAAAAAAAAAAAAGAACTAAACGATCAAAATCGTTGAATCGATGTACGATTTTCAATGGTCCAATGGCGGATTTCGTAGGAAGATTCTGAATGGAAAACGATTCGTCGTGTACTAGTTTGCCGAATGAAACGGTAAAAGAAAAAAAAAAAGAAAAGAAAAGAAAAGTAGGAGATGAAAGTCGCGAATAAACGTCGCGAGCGGTGTGAATAGGATAGAAAGTAATTGCCGTCCAAAATAGGTTCCTTCTTCTAAATCAAAATTGTCAAATGAGAATGGTACGATTGTCGATCGGCATACTATATACCTTCCTTCCGGAAAACCACGGTGGAACGCCGAATAATGCTACGAAAAAAGGTGAAACGAATGGAGAAAGGGTGATTCGAAGAGATGGAACGCTTGATTGTTGACAAAGAACAAAGAGAAGACGATACGAGAGGTGTCGAAGGCAACGAAGTTGTAGAAATTGTATCGACAATTTTGTAAATCTCCAGTTTTTTTAAAAAGAGGATCTTTTTTAATGTTGCCAGTGATGAATAGCACGGTACCAATGATGTTGATGATACGAAAAATTCAGACTACAACAGACAAATTTAAAATAGAATTTTGAAGAATTAAATAATTTCAAAAAGTTAAAATTACATAAAACTTCTTAAATAAGAGAAACATTCTTTAAATTTTACTTTATTCTATGTACGTGAATATAGAGAAGTCGCGTATATATATATATAGTCGTGAGGCGTTTAACCTCTTGCGCTGGAATGACGCACGTCGAGGATTCTTTGCACCAAATTCCAACATTTTCTCATAGTTTTAAGTATATTTAAATGTAACCCAGGCAAAACGAATGATTTATTATCTCTTAATAATTTCTATCCAGCCATATATATCGTACCGACAAGTTCAAAAGAAAAAGACAGCGATGAATTATTGTGTACGGTTCGGTCACTCGTTATGGTCCGCGAACCAGTTGCCAGCGCAAGGGGTTAATATCAAAGAAACGATCGAGTATTCCGTTCTTAGGGCAGCACTCAATCTGTAAATTCTTATTCAAATTCACAGACCATCGACACCGATATATATATATATTCAGCACAAAATGATACGTAATCTGTGTCTTTTAATTATTTTTATTTCTCTTTTACACGTACAAAAAGAAGAAGAAGAAAAAAAAAAGAAACAACACCCGCGTCCCCGTGAAACGAGGAACATTTATAGAACTTTTGATAGATCGATCTTTTTACCAATGCGTACCAAGTAGTATTATTCGGCACGACGTCGAAACGGAAATTCGGAAATTTCTCTTCCCGTGTCCGTGCGCAAAAGTCCCGCGAAACGAGGGAGGAGCGCAAGTTCGAAACGCAAACGCCGGCTTTGATTCCTCTTCTCGCGAGAGAGAATCTCTGGCGGGGGAAAGTACAAATTCAAGTACGTGGCACCACGTGGACAGAAAGAAAAAAAAAAAGAAAAAAAAAAAAAAGAAATCGCGCAAGTACAAGGTTGAACGACTGTGCCATCTGAAATGCCAAATCTCTGGTACTTTTATTGTAAAAGTAAAAAAATTCGAG